TGGTCTTGGTGACATCTGGTGATGGTGATGGTGTTGGTGTTGGTAACATCTGGTGATGGTGACATCTGGTGATGGTGTTGGTGTTGGTGACATCTGGTGATGGTGTTGGTGTTGGTGACATCTGGTGATGGTGATGGTGTTGGTGACATCTGGTGTTGGTGATGGTGACATCTGGTGATGCTGATGGTGGCATCTGGTGATGGTGACATCTGGTGATGGTGTTGGTGACATCTGGTGATGGTGTTGGTGTTGGTGTTGGTGACATCTGGTGTTGGTGTTGGTGTTGGTGACATCTGGTGTTGGTGTTGGTGTTGGTGACATCTGGTGATGGTGAAGTCTAGTGCTGGTGAACTCTGGTGATGGTGATGGAGTTGGTGAATTTGATGGAGTTGGTGAATTTGATTGTGATGGTGATATGATATGATATTGTTAATGACATGATGATGATGATGATGATGATGTCATGACCATGGTGATGGATTGGTGATGCTAATAATGTTAGAACACTGATGATATCATGTTGATGCTGTGGCAATGGTGATGTCATGATGATGATGGTGATGTCAGGATGATGATGATGTCAGTAATGATGTACATTACTCGAATGTCATCATGGTAGTAATATTATGATCATATTGAACGGTTATTATGTTATGTGATCTGATATACAGTATTTATGGTACAGATACACTTGTTCTTTTTTCTCAGGGAATAAGAAATACTTTTCTCATAAAAGCATATTGCAAAGGTAAATAAATAATAGCCAATGGTCTAAACCAAAAAAAAAAAAAACCCACTAGATTTCATGCTGTAAATTCCAATGCATGAACCCTGTGTATGCAAGATAACATTCAAGTAATTTTGTAATGGCTTGAATTTCAGTTGATCAGCGTGTTGGGCCACTTGTCATGGTGGTCAAAACGTGGGCCAAAAAACATGGAATTAATGATTCCAAGGATGGGACGCTGTCCAGTTATGCTCTTACACTGATGGTTATCCATTACTTACAATGTAAGTAAAATACTGAAATAAAAATACTAAAATATTCTTTGCCAACAAGGATTTTTTTCTCCGGTTTTAACAAACAACACACCAGAGCTAACAAAATGGCCAGTCATCACACATTGTCATGCCAAAATTGGGATTTGTCTGTTCAAATCTCTGCTTTGCCTGTTATTTTGACCATTACCATTGAGCCGGAAACGAGGTATGACGAAGCTACATGTAAAACTAATTTTGCGGTAATCATGACTGGCAATTGAATATTACACATTTTAAGCCCTGATGCTCTAGCATCTCACTTCTTCTAAGATGCGAGGTTATATGTTCCTCTTACTTGGCATCCCACATGACTATATTTTCGTTCGTTTGGTCTTTGCCACTAAAGGACACTTGGTTTTCCTACTAGCTTAACAAACGACACACTAAACTCAACCTAAGTTTGAAAAAGGAACTTATTGACTGTCTAATTGCATAATATATTGTTTTTGCAATTTTGTTTCAGGTGGCTGCCATCCTGCAGTTTTACCATCACTTCAAAAGGTTTACCCAGTAAGCTTTGGATATACATATATGTATCAAATTAAGTTGATCCTCACAGTACATGAAGCAACTTATTCAGCTGCAAACTGAAAGACTCAGAAAAAATTGGGAGTGTTGAACGGAATTTTTTTTCTGAGTCTTACAATTTGTAGCTGCATAAGTTGCTTCATATRCTGTGAGGATCAGCTCAATTTCATACATTACAACCGCAGTACAAACATATATTTCATTTATACTTTCATATGCACATATATATATTTATCAAAAATTTTAAAACCAGGTTGTTAGTAATAAGATGGCATATCTGTCATAATATTATTATTAATCATTATCATAATAATTATTTTTACAAGAGGTGTTGTGTAGGGTGTCTTATTATCATTATTATTATTTATTTATTATTATTATCATTATCATTATTATTAATTATTATTTTTATATTCTTCTATTTACAGGAGTTTTTCTCAGAAAATGGGGATATCAATGTTCTCTTAAAACAAGACGTAGAAAAAATCATCCTAGATGCAAAGTAAGATGATCCACTTTTTACATGGCTTGGATGGTCTCTCTCTCTTCCCTTCCTCTCTCCCTCCCTCCCTTCCTCCCTCTCTGCCTCCCTCCCTCTCTGCCTCCCTCCCTCTCTGCCTCCCTCCCTCTCTGCCTCCCTCACTCTCTGCCTCCTTCCCTCTTCACACTCATCCTTCTTTTCATCGCCCACCCTTTTTACCATTCATCTTTCCACCCACCCATTCACCCATGCATCCATCCATCCATTCACCCATCCATCCATCCATCCATCCATCCATCCATCCATCCATCCATCCATCCATCCATCCATCCATCCATCCATCCATCCATCCATCCATCCATCCATCCATCCATCCATCCATCCATCCATCCATCCATCCATCCATCCATCCATCCATCCACTCATCCATCCACTCATCCATCCGTCCGTCCGTCCGTCCGTCCGTCCGTCCGTCCGTCCGTCCGTCCGTCCGTCCTTCCATCCATCTACCCATCCATCTATTTATCGATCCTTCCATCCATCTGCCTGTTTGTCCATATCTGCGTTATTACCCAGCAACCCACCCATCAATTYCCCACCTCACGTCCCACCTACGTAGATACCACTGCACCCACCCATTCTTTTATTTATTCACCTTGTATTTCTTTTTAAATTATCTCCCATTTTTTCTTTTACCATAATAGTGTTACAAAGTCCCCGAACCACCAGACCCTGGGAGAACTACTGCTTGGGTTCTTCCAGTACTATGCAGATCAGTTCAAGTAGGCGCTCTGTTCTTTTTTTCATACATAAATGATCTAAAGATCCTTTTTTGCTTCGAATTTTTGATGGGAAATACAGAAGAATAACTTTTCCACGCTTATGAATGAAACCTTTTGGTGCATCAAAATTTGAACGTTTTTTCATCGAAAACCTATGCAATTGACAGGAGACGTCTTCAAGACCAATTGATGACTGTTAATTAGACGGCTATAATGAACAATCCGCACCGTTGGTCGACCACTTACCGACACCTTACCGTTACGTTATCGACCACTTACCGACCACTTACCGACAGCTCACGACCACTTGCCAACCACTTTCCGACACCTTACCGTACGGTGCGGATTGTTCACAATAGCCAATTAGACTACTTTGATACGGCGACCGTCCGATCTTGCCAGGAAAAAAATGATGACGGAAAAAATATATAGAGTTTCGTGTCTTTTTTTTTTGTGGGTAAAGGTGATCGATGTGCCGTCTTAATTCATCTTTTGTTGTATTTTCTTGTTTTGAGCTGTTAATATCAATCAACGTCATTACTTTAAAGAAGCTCATAATGCCTCGCAATCCAAGATGGCCGCCTTCTAACAAATTAGTCCATAGAGGTTTTGCACCATCACGTTACGGCAGCCATGTTAGATGGCAGGAACAATACAATCGTTTTTCATGAGAAAGAATTCAATTCTCGAGAGAATTAACCACGGGTAGTCCAAGCACGTGATGATACAAAACCTCCATTGCATTCATTTCTTTGTCAAAATTTTTTCGTTGGGACTTTTGCTCCTGTCCGAGCAAGTTGACTGTATTGATAAATTATTTGAATATTAGTACTGCTCTAGTTTCTTAGTAGATATGTTCTGATGTTGTTTTCTAGTTGGGATAAAGACATCATCAGTGTTCGTTTAGGTCGCACCTATGACAAATCGTTATATGGAAAGGCTAGAAACAAGTACATCTATATAGAAGGTATGTGCAGACTTCATATACACTCGATTGAAAAATCATACTGGGGTTCAAAAGAAGAAGATTGAATCTGATTCCAATGAAAATGATGGTAATATGTGGAAATATATGGCTTTGTACACTTTTGGGATATTTCACTTTAGAACACTTGTCGTAAATCACACTGCAAAATTTAACACATTCTGGAATTTACGTCATCTCATTTGCATATTGATATTTCAAATGTTTATATCTGTGAAAAGAGAGGTCCACATACAAAAAACTGCAACCATACTACTACACTGTTCACATATAAGTGATTTTGAAAATAAAATTTTTTCCTTGATATACACTTTAAGGTGCTCACATTCTGTCATTTCAGAGCCGTTTGATTACAACAACGTGGCGAAGACTGTGTACTGTGAGGAGAAATTCAACAAAATCAAGATGAAAATAAGTCTGGTAAGGAAAACGTATACACGTCTCTTGCATTGAATTACGTAGACCATTTTTGAATTCTAAATTACCGCTGTGTTCATTGATCACAGGCTCATTTCCTCAGGCTTAGCCTCGAATCATTGTCTAAATATTCACAAATACCAACGGTAAAGTAAAGAATGTACAACTTCATCAATACAAACACTTCGAAATAGACCCGTTTCGAATTCCAAATTACCGCTGTGTTTCTTGATTACAGACTCATTAGCACAGGGTTAGCCTCGAATTTGTGCAGAATATTCTCGTGTTCCAGTCAAGGTCCGTCGAGTTTCAAAATTTTTGTATTGTTGAAGTTGTGCATTCTTTACTTTTCTGTTGGTATTTGTGAATATTTAAACACTGATACGAGGCTAACCCTGTGCAAATGAGTCTGTAATCAAGGAACACAGCGGTAATTTGGAATTCGAAACGGGTCTATTCCACGGACCTTCACTAAGGCAACACACGAATATTCTACAAAAAGTCGAGGCTAACCCTGAGCAATAGAGAACTCAAGAATTCTCATTATTTATTTATTTTTTTAATATATTTTTTCTTTGTTTTGAGGCTGCTAACAAACTAAAGGTTTCTCCATCACTTAAAAGTATCCTGTAGCCGTCGTAAAGAAAGGTCGTATAATCAAGAAGTGATCCACCTCTGGTTTGTTTAGTTTGGAAATATTTTATGTCCGTCGCTGATGTTTGTTGGAATCATTGTGTTAGTCCTTGGTTAACCTTCGTTAACACTGAGTTTCACGGCTCTTTTGACTGTGCCAATTGCTTTACATTACTTCACAATCACATGCGCGAAATTTTATTGAAAATTATACGATTTTGTGACCGCATTTGATTAAAAAGCAGTATATCAAACTATCGCACGGTCTGTCCGCAATGGTCTGTGGCACATGGAAATCAAAAATAATTCGCACAAGAAAACGATAACCATTTGAACGCGTTCAAAAATGGAAGAATGATCCAGAATTGAAGTATTTTCTTCCAAAAACGGTAAGATTTGAAATTATTTAATTAAAAAAGGAAAAGAAATATAGACAACAACAAGAAAAGTTACGGAAAATGTTCGCAAATATAACTAAGTTAGTTAAAAAATATCTAGTTTTCAGCTTCAAATACGAAAATGTTCATTCAAATAAAAATTTGCAAAAAATATAATAATGATAATTATTATAATGATAATGATAATTAAATTAATAACAATATAAAATAAACTCGTTATGAAATACTAGAGAATATTAAATTAAAATTGTTTAAATTGAAATATCTTTGTAAGTTGTATAAAGCTTTATAGTTATTTATTGGATATTTGAAATAAACTACTCTAACTCAGTATCTTTTCAATAATATATTCAACAATGAAGGGTTTGTTTTTTTGTGTGATGTTTTTGGAGAACCGTATCCTCAGTGTTATTCCTCGCAGTAAAAAAATCAACCTTATTAGACCATATATTTAAAATATTTATTTTATTATATTTTTCATTAAAATACAGTCAATGTCCTTAACGTTGTCCGACGAAAAAGGACGTTTACACATTTAGACTTTTAGGCCCCGTCCACACTATTCCGCACACTATGAATCCGCAACTTTATTTATCCGGTTATGCCTTCCGTCCACACTAGTCCGGGCGAATCCGGAACAATTCTTCATCGAAAACGGAACTTTTCGAATACGGTCTCCAGAGAGGAACAATTTGAAAACGTCCGCTAGCCGAATTAGTGTGGACGGAGAACATTTCGTATCCGAAACTGCGATGACGTCATGATTGTCATGGAAACATGGTGGGAAGGCTAAAAATTCACCGCGGGCTCAATTTCAGCTTGGATGCGCATGCTCAGATGTGCAATGAAGCGTTTTTGCCGCCTCTGATCGGACTTAGTGTGGACGCGAAATATTTTCTCCGTTTTCATATGTGGACGGAAAACTTTTTTTTTCCGGCTTCGGTGTGAAAGTTGCAGATTAAAATTTTTCCGGCATAGTGTGGACGGGGCCTAAGACATTTAGACATTTAAACATAAATTACACATTTAGACTAAAAGAAATATCACGTGTTTCATTATGTATTCTCTGCCTCGTGTGCGTCAGCCTGAACTTTAAATGTAAAATTCAACTCGTGATTCGAAAATCCAGAATGCCCCGACCATTTAGTGAGGATTTAAGATGGAGAATGGTATTTCAGCATTTGTTTTATGCCAGAACATTCGAGAAAACACTTGATATTTCTTTTAGTCTAAATGTGCAAATGTCTAAATGTCTAAAAGTGTAAATGATGTGTAAATGTCTGAATGTCTCTTTTCCGTGGACAGCATTAATGACATTGACTGTATATTAATAAAAAATATATATTACTTTCAGGATTTTTGAAAATTTAAGTAAAAGCAGTTTATTTATTTATTTTTAATTATTTAAACAAATATTTTCTTTTATATTATCCCAAGAGCGATTTACATTGGTCAATCTACTACTTTTACACAACAAATAACAAGCAAGCGACGTGGACATGAAGGGGAAATAATGCAAAGTTTATTAAGATGCAAAAGTACAACCAAATGTTGATTGCAACATCATTTTAAACTTTTTTCACAATTCTCGAAAAAGGCCGGTGTTTAATTTTGTCGCAGTCACCAGAAGAAGCTTATGACGAAGAGAAAACCAGAAATGGAAACCGGTTTGATGACCCTAAGCTATTCCTGCCCTGTCTTAAATCGAAAAATAAGATTTGCTTAAAAGTTTGAAGATTTTCGTTTGCTTGAAAAAGAAGCACCTGTCATGGATCGATGCAGTCTTCTCCTTTAATTAGGATTTACTTATGTGGATTTTAATTGAAGTATTTGATGTCTTTATAGAAGGTGCAAGATCTGCAATGGTGTTAATTAGGTCAATGAAAAGAACTAACAGGTTGACGTATTTTAGTTGGATCGTTTTAGATCTTATAGATCTCATTCTTTAGTGGGGAATTCTTAGCTGTTACTAGTAAATGGCAAATGATTTCCAGCAAAAGCCTGGGAAAACAATATTTGCCTTTTATTGCAAATTGAGGTTGAGATTTACTAGTTCAGCCGATTGATAACAAGCAATAGAATACTCTCTGGTTGATAGCACATGATTGACAGTGTTAACCTGTCATTGTAGGCTGGTAATGAGATTCATTCTTGACAGTTGATTAATACCACGCAATAGAATACTCTCTGGTTGATAGCACATGATTGACAGTGTTAACCTGTCATTGTAGGTTGGTAATGANTTGACAGTTGATTAATACCACGCAATAGAATACTCTCTGGTTGATAGCACATGATTGACAGTGTTAACCTGTCATTGTAGGTTGGTAATGAGATTCATTCTTGACAGTTATTGATAGCAAGCAATAGAATACTCTCTGGTTGATAGCACATGATTGGCAGTGTTAACCTGTCATTGTAGGTTGGTAATGAGATTCATTCTTGACAGTTGATTAATACCACGCAATAGAATACTATTTGTTTGATAGCATGACGGACAGCATTTTGCCATCCTTGCGGGCAAGTCATTCAGCAGATCAATATTACTGCATCAAAAGGAGATAATTTTTTTCTGCAAGTCCAAGACAATACAACAAGATAGCGTACAATAATAGCAAGACAAGACAAAAGTGAGTACAAATACACGGTGCTATTTGCCCAAAAAATACAGATTATTTTAATAATTAATCAATTTTGTGCTTTTTATTTAAAGGAAAATTATTATGTTAATGTGGAAGTGGTCTCGCTAGTAAACGAAAAGTGTTCAAGTCTTACCTACAAAAAAAGAATGCATTTCTTCCTCATTCTGTTCATAACTGGACTTTCTACACTTGTTAAAGGTAAATTTCAAATTTTTTTATTTCTGTTGCTATGGATTTGGTTTGCCTTTTTTATTACTATTCTCGTTTAGTGCGATCCTCGAAGCTTGATGATTTCTCGTTCGTTTTCAACTAGCATTTCGACGGCCCTGGCGTCATTCAAGTAACAAATGGGAAAAACCATAACTTGAGGGATATGTTAGACTGAATTAAAGAAGTTATCGTTTCTTTCTTTCTTTCTTTCTTTCTT